CCTCCCTCCCTCCCTCCCTCCCTCCCTTCCTTCCTTCCTTCCTTCTTTTCTTGCTTTCTTGCTTACCTTACTTTATTATTTTCTTCCTTGCTGGCAAGTGATCAGACAAAAATGGATTAAAGAAGGCATCTGTACATGGATCACCAACAGGCAAAACAAGAAAAGTGACCGTTTATTTAAAATAGGTTTTGGGTTTTAAAACATTTCCATCATTTTTTTTTATTTTTGGAGAATCTTGTACTTTGAGCAAGAGTTTGCTTTTTGTGGGTTTGATTTGAAGATTTAGCTTTCTTGATTCTATGTAGTTGCAAGAAAGACAATTGGCAAATGGTTAATAAATAGTGTGCGATTGCTATAGATAGAAGTAGCACACCATGCTATAGGGGAATGCCCTCCCACCCTGTTCATATGTTGAAACTTAATCTCCAGTGTGATGGTATTTGGAGGTGGGGCTTTGGGAGGTGATCAGGTCATGAGGGCAAAGTCCTAATGAATGAGATTAGTGCCCTTATAAAAGAGAAACTAGAAGCTCCCTTGCCTCTACTGCCATGTGAGGACCCAGGGAGATAATGACCATCAGTGAACCAAGAAGCAGATCCTCACCGGACACTGAATCTGCTGGGGCATTGATTTTGGACTTCCCAGCCTCCAGAACAGTGAGAAATAAATTTCTGTTCTTTACAAGTCAACTAGTTTATGATATTTTGTTTTAGCAGCCAGAGCTGACTAAGAGAGCCACACACCTTAGAAGCCAGTAGTCAGAAGACATATGAATGAGGGGAAAAAAACTGAAACTCATTTCATAGGAAAAGGGCTAATTTTTTATTGATTATTATTATTATTATTATTACTTTGAGACAGAGTTTTGCTTTGTCACCCAGGCTGCAGTGCAGTGGAGCAATCTCAACTCACTGCAACCTCTACCTTCCGGGTTCAAGTGATTCTCATGCCTCACCCTCCCAAGTAGCTAATTACAGGTGCACACTATCACTCCCAGCTAATTTTTGTATTTTTAGTAGATATGGGGTTTCACCATACTGGCCAGGATGGTCTTGAACTCCTGACCCCAAGTGATCCACTCGCCTTGGCCTCCCAAAGTGCTGGAATTACAGGTGTGAGCCACCGTGCCTGGCCTAATTTTTTCTAACATGTTAAATGTTCCAACAAATCAGCAAGAAAAAGATCAACAACTCAGTGAAAAAACGGCCGTATATAAAAATAAACACTACATAGAAATCGAGATACCATTTTTACTTATCAGCATGAAAAGAACTCAAATATTTGCGTACATGCTGTACTGGCAAGATTGTGAATGGCTAGACACTTTCACACAGCGCTGACAGACACAGAAACTAGTGCCAACTCGAAGAAAACAATCTAGCAAAATCTTCCAAGATTATAAATGCACCTACCGCTTGACCCACAATGCTGCTTCTAAGAATTTATCCTATGCTTATACTCACACTTGCCTATAAAATTTAATGTGTATAAGGTCATACCTTGGGTCAGTGGTTACATAGCAAAAGATTTCAAATGACTAAAATGGTATACTATTCATCTGTTTAAAAAGAACAAGAAACCTCTTGTCTGGCACCAATATAAAGATCTCCAAGAAATGTTATCGATTAGAAAAGTTAACATGTAGAATTATATGAACAATACATTACCATTTGTAGAAAAAAAGGAAAAATTATTGTCTGATACAGAATATCAAAATAAGAAACACAGAATTTCCTATATTTGCATGAAGTAGCCGGAGGCAGGATGCATACAAATTCCCATGAGAAGGGATTAAAATGGCTGAGGGCATTTAAAATTTTTTATGCTATTTCTCATTTAATCAAAAAAAATGGAATCAAAGAGGTTATTTGTAAAGAATGTGTCATAAAATAAGGGTCAAATACAGAAGACTGGCAGGAATAAATCGAGGCTTCACTCCAAGAGTGAGATGGTCTACACCATGTGTCACTTGAAGCAATTGGCTGCATCTTTCTTCCCCTTACACACGCCTTTTGTTATATTTTATATCTCATTTTCTTCTCTCCATCTCTCATCGATTTTCTAAATACATTTCTGCTCCTAAATTTTGTCATCCTATAATTCTGTCTTTATAATTCTAATCACGTGCATATTTTAGCCTCAGAGCTTAAACAGCATTAAATCCTACTTCATTCAGATAGAAGATGGAATGAGGTTTTAATCCTGTTGGCCTTATTCTGAGAATCAATAGAGACACAGAATAGTTTTGATTTATGGCATGGACAATAGATTCAATCAAGCTGCTTCCTTATGGCCCAAGAAAACTTTCTCTTAAGAAGGTGGGCTCAAGCCAGGTATGCTAGCCAGGCTCAAGCAGATTAAGAAAACCTTCCAGTCCATGTCTTTCTTATTCTACTGCAGTTTTGTAGAACTTCCACTGAGTAATAAAAGAAGATTTATGAACAGTCAGTGAGTTCCAAGCCACCATGACCAAGAATACCCCAGCAACTAAGAACAACTTACCAGCAACATGACCTTGTTCAACGTCTTTCAGAATCCCAGTATCTTCATTTCTACAATGTAGATGTTTTTGAGACAACAAATAAGTTATAAACAAAGATAACAGCAATAACCATGTGGTAGCCAGTCTCCGAGATGGACGTCTACCTCCTGGCACTTATACCCTGGTATTTATGTCACTCCTCCCACATTGTACCAAGTTCGCCCTGTGACAAACATAATATGGCAAGGGTGATGGCATTTTATGGCATAATATGGTAGGTAACTTTAGAGGTTAGGTTATAAAAGATGTGTCTTAGTTATGCTTCTTTCTCATGTTGTAAGTAACCCTATGGAGAGACCCTCATGGTGGGCACTGAGACCTCTGCCAGCAATAAGCTTGAGAACAGATCCTTTATCCCAGTCAAGTCTTTAGGTGACCTCAGCCTTGGCCAAAACCTGTTAGTGCAACCATATAAGATATCCCAAGCCAGAAGCCCTGGCTAAGCCATGCCTAGATCCCTGATCCTCAGAGATTCTGTGACATGATAAATGTTTTTTATTTTAAGTACAAAGCTTTGGCGGTTATTTATTATGCTGCAATAGATAACTAACATGACCATGTAACAATAGGAATAACAACCAACAAATCATGTCCCTTTTCTTCATCAAAAGAACTTCATGGTATTGCTGAGGTCTAGACTTGGGTATGGTGATTCCGGTGGAGTGACTTCATCCTTCTGACTCAGCATCTAACTCCTGAGGCTACAGTGTCCACTTACTGGAAAACTTGTTGCTTATTCCATGTTGCCTCCATTAATTGCCACTGCTGATACCTAGGACACGAGTCTCAAGAGCAGCTATTCGGAAGACCAAGGTCTTCGATAGAAATAGATGTTCTGTTCATCTTTGTTGCTGCTTGCACTAAGCCATTGCAGCAGATTTGTTGCCTTGATTCTGATTCTAGATTTTTTTGCATAAATTGTATCTATTTTTAAGTGGCAACAACCACTCCTAGAACACATACAAAGCATGATCAAACCCTCATCATTTACACCTCAGTCCTGAGTCACTTCTTCCATCGACCTGATTCCTTACCTTTTTGGCCTTTTTTCTCACCACTGGGTCCTTGTCTTGTCTCTGCTTCCCTAGTTTTGATTTTCTATTCTTCAGTAAATGTCCCACTCTATTTCACTTGGTTCTGGAATCTTTCTCTCTGGGTGCTGTCTCCATTGTAGAGAACTGGCCATGTATGCCTTGCCACTGTAAGTCAGAGTCAGAGAAAGTCTAACTCTGTTGTCCTCACCTTTAAGACACTGTCTCTGAGTATCTGGTTCTGAACAATGCCCTGTCTCTCTCTCTCTCACTTTTTCCAGATGCCCCATGCGGAATTATTTAGCCTTCATTAGTCTGGGGCAGGGTGGCTTCTGTACCTTTCTTCATTCTTAGATTTTTCAGCTTTATCTTGTTTATATCAGAACCCCTTATTGATGATGATATCCATTTTTAAATATAGACTGCAATGGTTCTCAATAGTGATTGGCATTAAAATCTCCTGAAGAAGAAAAGAGAATGCTTATATACTATTAGTGGGAATGTAAATTAGTTCATCCACTGTGGAAAGCAGTTTGGAGATTTCTCAAAGAACAAATAACAGATATACCATTTTATCCAGCAATGCCTTTACTGGGTGTATATCCAAAGAAAATAAGTCATTCTATGAAAAAAAAAAAAAAACAACACATGCACTTGTACATTCATTACAGCACTATTGACCATAGCAAAGACATGAAATCAACTTATGTTTCCATCTGTGGGACTGGATAAAAAACATGTAGTACATACACACCATGCAATACTTTGCAGCCATAAAAAATGAACACGTCCTTTCCAGCAACATGAATGCAGCTAGAGGCCATCATCCTAAGCAAATTATCTCAGGAACAGAAAACCAAATACTGCATGCTCTCACTTATAAGTGTGAGTTTAATATTTGGTACTCATGGACATAAAGATGGGAACAATAAACACTGGGGACTGCTAGAGGGGGATGGGAGGAGAGTGAGCATAGAAGAACTAGCTGTTGGGTACTATACTCACTTCCTGAGTGATGGGATCATTTGTATCTCAAACCTCAGCATCAAGCAATATAACCATGTCACAAACCTACATGTGTACCCTCTGAATCTAAAATAAAGGTTGAAATGTTAAAAAAAATCTGGAAACACTGAAAAATATTCCAGTGCTGAGATTCTATTCCAGATCAGTCATAAATATTTATGAAAAGCTTTCAGTTGATTTTCCTGAGTATCTAGGGGATAGAACCAATAGTATTCAATGAGGGCCAAGAAAATTCAAATGATGTACCCATTAAACAAAAACCATCTGGGAGCCAGATTCACACTCAGGTGGCCAGTTTGTGACCTCCAACTAGAGAGTGTGTGGATGGTCTTGCTGGGAAGCCAGGGACTTTGTTTGTGTACTCCCACAAGATCCTCCAGATGGGTAAAGGAAACAGTGAGCAGAGAATTCAGAAGCAATTAGCTAGTGCATACGCTTCCAGGGCAGCGCTGCTCCATGAGGACATCTGATAACCTGCAGATAATTATGTTTATGGTGCACAAACCATTGCTGAAAGATGGCATCGTGCACAGCTGTTGTTTAGAAAAACCTGCTGTAGAGTTTTGGATTTGGCACTAGGAATCCCTAACTGTGGCTAAACAGAAAAATTCTGTTTGTGCAGATGGAGATTCAAGATAGAATCAGTGTCAAAGCTTTAAGAACGAAAGAAACAGAAGCTTGACTGTTTTGAAAAGAGTAAAAGTGCTGGTGTCTAGCGATGGAGTTCCGAACCTACATATGTGAATGTCCTTATGCTACTGCAGTTGTTAACTCCAAATCCAACATGAAGAAAACTGATTTGATCTTTGCATTAGTGTGCAGAGCAAGATTCTCAACTTGAGTAAATTATGATTTTAACTGCTTTCCAATCTATCTCCCTTAACATGTTTATACATAGTGTTTATAAAAGGTGCCAATAATATACATAGCAAGTGTTTTCTGATTTCTTTTTAACATTTTAACATAGCTATTAAGAAGTTTTAATCTCTGTTATGCTGATTAATTGATAGGAATAGTATTGATGGCTTTTTAAGATTTTAATTCATTTTATTCATAAGCCAGATGTACAAGTATTAAACGGCATCCATAGTCTTGAGGAATCCATAATAAAAGAAAATTCAGTATTTAAAATTGGAATCGTTTAAGAAAATTTCTCAGTATTCCAGCCTCCTTCTAGTTGGTGATTCAAGTTATAGGGGGTAAGAGCGCCTAGTGGGGTACATGGGGTCTGTCAGTCCCGGAGATATATACAGACCTTTTTTGAATCCTGGCTTCACCACACACACATGATGTGACTCCAAGCAATCACTTAACTTCTCTCACTGAGTCTCTAAAAAAATAGTAATACCTGCTTTCCCAGCTTATTTTTGTTATAATCAGAAACTGTAAATATAAAGCACATCATATGCAAGATACCGAGTGCACACTCTGAGCAGATACTTGGTTAAGTGCAGGGCAAAGAACAAGAAGCGTAGGGTACAGTCTCTGTCTTCTAGCAGCTGACAATATATTTAAGACAATATAGGCAAATAATTAACAGGAAATTAATTAAAACTACAAAGTACTTGCATTAAGTATGTAAGTTCAGATGAAATATCTTTTATAATTTGTGTATCTTACATCTAATATGCATAACATTTCCTATTAAACATATCCTTTAGCCCTCACCCTAACTCTAACCTCATGTGTAAAACTTAGTTTAATTTAATCTTTAATGTAACCATTAAGAGATATCACTTTATTGATAAGAAGTCAGTTAAAAAATTTTATAATGGTGAGATATGTAATTCATCTGTGTGACTAGTCAGGGATTTGAATATGAATCAACTAAATGCTATTTGTAATACAGATGGGATTAGTGATTCTGTCTATAGATTAATAATATTAGTCTTGAGATATGTAAACTGCAACTGTCAATCTAATGGCTGTTGGTATCTCAGGCCAAATGAGTTGAGACCTAGAGCAAGTAAACTCCAAGGTGTGGACATAAGTCAGGTTTCCATAAATACCGGTGGTTTCAGAGGCAGGCTACTTTCCAAGGACTGATTTTCAGTACAAAGGTGGCCAAAAGGCTGCTGGAATAAAAGGTAGGTGTGAATCATCCTAGGTGTTAGTCAGAGTCAATCAAATTAGGATAACCAAAAACAGAGCAGGGATTCTGCCCGTACAAAGTCAGACAGAAGACAAGGAGGTTTAATTTCTTTCCTTTTTCTGTGAAGTTGCCTGAAGATGAAAACTTTTCATTTTGCATTAATGACAGTCTAATATTAATGATGGGTAAATTTGATGACACTTTCACAAAGACAGACTTTATCTTCATAAAATTATTAAACTTGGGTATAACATTAGGGAGTGTTCAGTCAGTGAGGTTATGGGTGTATATGTTTTCTATATTGGATTTTTGAAGATTAACCTCCTAAGTTAGATTTAAGTCTATGGTTAAATGTAATGTCGTAGATAAGTGATATGATTTATGGTCATCTAAATTTTTGTTGTGTCCTTATGGCACAAATTGCTTTGACCATTTTAATTAAAATGGTGTTTAATAAAATTTTGGAGGCTCTATAAACTATGTTTTTTGATGTAGTATAGAGCAAAAACAAAAAAGACAGGCTATGCTTTTCTTTCATTTTGCAGCCACAGAATACTGTATGTCAAAATTTGAAGAATCATGGATACTCATGAGTATATGAAAGCATGGAACCCAGGACACTCAAATTATGTTCAAAGATATAATTTCTGAAAGCCTGGAGGTCTTTAATGACAATAAAATAATCCATTAAAGTATTCTTCTTTAAATGTCTGAACAAAAAAAGCGTGGTGCTCTTAAAGGAGACACTTTCTATATCTAAGGAGCACATTAAACCCAGTGTCTTAGAACAAATTCAAATTCAGAGGGAAAGTAACTTTATTTGGAAGTTATAGTGTCCTGAAACTAACCAAACTTGTGGAAAACAAGCAGTCTTCTTTCTCTTGGAAGGCCTTTGGGAAAATATGTCTACGAGTGTCCCTGTGGAGTCAGTATTTCGGAGACAACATAGGAACCACATGTCCTTTTCCTTGCCTGTCCAGGGATGTCTAATGTGGGTGTTCATTGAGCCTGACAACCAGACTATCCTTAAAAGCAGCTGATCTCATTCTCTGTGGGCACTGAGTTCCTCATTCTCAAAGTCAGAAGTTGTGGATGAGTCCAGAAGCTCCAGCCCTGCCCCATGACCCACCTTTCTGACAGTCTCCGTTGAGAGAGCCCTCAGACCCCTGCTGCCATCCAGCAGCGGAACAGCCTCTTTTGCTATCACACAGCTCCAAGAATGCGGATGCAGCAGTTAGCTCATTCTCTTAAGCCTCTTGTGGTTAACGTGAATAGCATTCTTTCAATTGCTGCCGATATGAAATATCCTAAGTCTTCAAGTCAACAATTAAAAACTCAAGGTCATATTTTTACAGGAGACACTGAAAATGTTTGCATTTGGAAGGTAAAACGTTTTAAATGGGAATGGTATGCGTATTTATTCTGCATCTAGATGTTGCAAAATGAAGTAGAGGTTTGTCAGTTATTCAGGTTTTATTAGGCTAGAGAAAGTCAAGACAGATGATCTGCTTCCCAAATAAGAGATTTTATTGCAGAAGCTGACTACTTAGAAAATAGTCATTTTTGATTGTATAAACCAAAATGAACTTATCTTCTTTATCCCTCAGTTTTCCTATAAAAAATAATTTAGCTCATGAAGATGAGCATAACTTATACTTCACAGTTAGGAAACCCCTCCCCCTCCATTTCCAGTTTTTATGTCTGTAAAATGAGGTAATACTACTGCTTATATAGCCTTGTCTCATCCTGTTTATCTGCAGGTATTAAGAAGCATAGCCAAGATGTGCTAACAGGTTCTCTGGATTTGTTTTCTCAGAAGTTTGTTCCACCCAACCCCCCGTTTTTTTTTAAATCAATGTCTCCATGCCACCCCAATTTCCCACCACTTCCCTGGAGTACCTTTTCCATAGTCACTCTTGTTAAGATTCTGACAGTATTACCTAGCCTCCAGCTTCCACTGTCCCTTGAAATGATCCCTTTCCTCAAGCTAATTAACTGCCTCTGTACCTTTAAAGGTCAGTTTATATAACACCAACTCCAGGGTCCCTGAGAGCCCCACCAGCCCCACCAGGTGTTACACTCCTTCCATCTTCCATTAACCCCAAGGGCCCTCCAAGCATTCTGTGCATACCATTGCATGGCACTTAGGCTGAACTGTAATTTCTTATTTACACGCCAACCTGACCATATTTATAACACTATATATATTTTAATACTGAAAGTTCTGGCAGAGTACTTACTTGACACATAGTAAGTGCTTATTAAATGCCCACTGAGTCAACCAATCAAATAAATAAGTGAAGTATTTTGTGAACCATCTGATTCTAAATACCTGCCTAATT